AGAACACATTTGACAAATGTGGCTACCAGTAACTTCCATTAGTCAGGAGTGATAATTTGTAATTTAAAGGAAGAAGCAGGAGACACCAGGCCATGGAATGATAAGACATGCAGGGCAAGGGTCTGATGTCTTGGCCCACTCATCTCCTCCCCACTCATTTAGCCAGGCCGTTTTCTTTGAGGGAACTGGTTTGTTCTACTTGCCCTTGAAACAGAGTCTGACAGATGCCCTAGCCGTTTGCTCAGTGGCTAGAGTGTGGGCCTGCGGACTGAAGGGTCCCGGGTTCCATTCAGGTCAAGGACACATGCCAGGGTTGCTGGCTCCATACCCAGTGGGGGCATCAGCTGATCACTGATTCTTTCTCTTCATTGATGTTTCTATCTCTCTCTCCCTCTCCCTTCCTCTCTGAAATCAATAAAAATATATGGAAGGAAGAAAGCAAGGAAGGGAGGGAGAGAGGGAGGGAGGAAGGAAGGAAGGAAAGAAAGAAGAGTGTCTGACAGAAAGCAGAGGTGTCTGCAGTGGGGTGACTCTCTGGTACATGGAGACTTTTCTCTGCCTTCTGTTCCGTGGGAGAGTTTAACTGCAATGCGGGGTTTATGGAGGAGAGGTTTGAGGGGACCTGAGGCACTCTTTCTCTCAAACTCTGGAATCTGAAGATTAAGGATGACCCAGGAAAACCCCTCCTGACTCGGGCTATGTTCAGCATAGGGTAGTGTTTGGGGGATCCGAAGCCCCTAATTCCTGCTTGCCCTTCACTGCCACTTAACTTCCAAAGCCTTCTAACCCTTCCCTGTGCCTCTGGCTCAGTGTGAACCAAGAGCACCAAGCTTCCCCCACCAACCGCTGTCGGGGTGGGAGATTCACCGGGGCCCTCTGCGCACTCCCCAGCCTTGTCCTCACGCTCAGAAAGGCCATGCAGCGGGCAACCTTCCTTAAATTGAAACTCCGCAAATCTGTTTCACCCCAAGAAAGCGCAAACTGACACCTGGACCTTCTAAGGCGGAGGAGGCGATGGGGTGGGGAGTGGCGGGGGGGCAGGGGTTGTCTGCGTCTCTCTCGACCTTCTGGTGTCTTCAGCGGCTGCAGCTGGCTGAGAGAAAGGGTTTTGCCATCCGGGGGCGGTCACAAGGATTCCTAAATGGAACGGCTTCCTTTTCCCATTCCAGCCTTCAGCATGGCCCCCATCTGCCCTTCCGGGCATCCTTTAGTCGGGGGGCCCGGGAGTGGGGAGAACAGCGGAAAGGATAGCCCAGGCACCTTCCCGCCCCGCGCGCCCTCGTGCCGACTGTGTCCTCGGCCACCGTATGCGGGCGC